GTGTCAGTGTGTTTGTGTGTGTGTGTCAGTGTGTTTGTGTGTGTGTGTGTGTCAGTGTGTTTGTGTGTGTGTCAGTGTGTTTGTGTGTGTGTGTCAGTGTGCGTACCCAATGAAGACATAGATGGCCTTGCGGTAGTTGGTGCGAAACACAACGTGGGAGGGCCCCAGGAAGGGCTCCAAGACGTCAATGAGACCTGGGGGCATCCTCTCCATCTCGTCAAAAAAGAAGACGGAGCGAGCGCACTCCGTAAGATTCCCCTGCACCCAGCTCTTCAGCTCCTCCTGCAAACCAACGGAGGGAAATTCAGTACTGTGACAAAAGCTGCGAATAATGACAACACTTCAATTCCACCATCATTTTCCTTCTGCACATTAGCAAACTGAAGCATCTGGACACATCCTACTTCTCAGCATCTCATTTCTGGAGACATTTATTCTGTTCTTTGAATTTTATTTTAGCCTGTAATTACCTATGACTACCGCTGAGGTGGTCACATCATATTTCCCTACACACTGATCCCCGCTTACCCTGTACTCCTTGACCCGGTCAGGCAAGGGGAAGTGTAGCGTCGGAACAAACTGATGGACGTACGGGCTGCTCATCGCCGAGCCGTACAAATGATTTCCCAGCATGGAGCTGACCAACGTCTTTCCTGTCCCAGAGGAGCCATGGAAGGACAGCACCAGGGGCCGGTCGGGGCTTTTATTCTTAAGAAACTTTGCCACCTCCTCTGACACTATGTCTTGGGCCAGATGTTGTCCATAAACATTCTTGTAGAGGTCCCACTCCAGGTCTGGTGGTCAGGAAATAAAGACACTGGTGATGTTAATGTCACCAACCATCCAACACCTGTTTGGTTGCAATATACCGCAGCACATAGCTTGTAGGGCTGTGTACTGTGCAGCCCTGATATGCATAGAATTGGAGTAAAACCAAGTCACAGTTCAGCTCAGTTTACGTTTCCAATGCTGCGGTCTAGAGATTGGGGGTTTAAACACAAAAATCAATACAATATCTCAAAACTAAATATTGCAATAAGATAGCATTTTTCAATATTTTCTTACACCACTAATAACTTGTGCTCCAAAATCTTTTAAATTGGTCCAGGAACTAAGAACCTACAGGAGCTACACTCCTACACACTGTGCAGCACTAGATAAGCAAATTAAACTGATCCTTACCAAATGTGTTTGTTTTATGCATCTAAATTATTTTTAAGGGGAAAAAATCCCCCAATATATGTTTGTTGTTTGAGTGTTTTCTCTCAGATGTCAGTACAAGCCTCAAGAACAGTAGATGGGCTCTAGTCTGTCTGTCACCATGAAAGAAGTTGTACATTTAGAAAAGGAGGTTAGTAACAGTGAACAGCTGAACACATTTAAACTGCACATTAAGACAGTTCTCCACAGTTTGGAGAAAGTAGTTCCTCCTCCACTCTTTAAACAGCAGCCTCAGTGTTTTGCTAGCTAGCATAAGAGCCAAGTAGCGAAGCAGTTGTTAAATAACAGTATTATCTAACGTTAGCTCTTGATCAACACTGTACACTGAAACACCAGTTTAACTAACTAACTTTCTGCACACGAATAAAAACACATCAAATATGTTATGTGTAAGTTGTCGTTTAGTGGACAACCTGTCTTTTTCAGTCTTGCTAGCTGGCTAACAAGAGGCAGCACCCGTCAGTTAACGTTAGCTAGCTAGGTTGGGTATATGTTAACGTTATAATAATAATATAATATTATTATCTTACCTTTGATATTGGGCTTAAAGTCGCACTCACAGCTGTCTGATATGGTGCAGTAAAGTTTCTGAAAAACGCCGCTAACCGGATTATAAAGGTATAAAAACAGCACAGACAGAATGGCCAACATTTTGGCTGCCTGCTGGCAGACAGAAACCGGAACAGACCTCCTCACGATAACCGGTCAGTTTTGTAGTTTTTCTACTTCGACGAACGCTTCCAGAAACACGTAACGAAGTGACGGTGCGGACTACATTTCCCAGAGAGACAATCTGGCATGAGACGTAGAGCGCTGGACACGTTGGAGGATCACAGTCCAGAAAACACAACATCTGGAGAAAATACTGACATTTTTCTATCCAAGTATATGCAGCATTTTATTATAAATATATTTAAATTAGAATTAATGTAACTGTACTGGACACATTTGAACAACATGTCACTCGAGACTGTATTGTAGAGTATATTAGTAATAGTGTTGCAACAGCTGTTTTATTAGCAAATCATTCAACAGAAAAATAAAACTTTAGACACTTAATACATTTGTATTTCTAATAAACTGTAATCAAAAAAAGTACAGTAGAATAAAATATAGAACATTTCATATATACAGTAGAAGGTTCAATTAATGTGAAATGGTCTATTATGAAGCATTATGCAATTAAGTATTGTAATATGTAACTACTCAGACAAAAAAAAACAAAAAACAGAACTGTATAAATATTTTTTCCAGACATGACACACAACAGAAATTAGTAATTAAACTTTTTAGGACGGCCAGACAACCACTTCATTAAGAGATAAAGCTTTGTTGTGAGCTCATTTAGAAAGGTTGTTGTGATATACTTACTGGGTGCCCATTCACAAATACTTAAAGATCATTAAAACATCCCAAATGTCTTCAAATAAGTGTGAGAAATCTGTGTTGGGTTTTCTGTTTCTCAATATGCAGCATGCATTAGCATGGGTCAGCGTTAGTGGAGGGCAATAAATGAGAATCAGGCATGTAGCTGACAGATGTATAAGACAGTTTTATCCAATAAATCAGCCTGACATTTAGGTAAACATGTTTATTTACATTTTAAATTTCAGATAAATATTAGACATTAATACTATGTAAGGTAATACAAATGGTGTGTACCAGTGGGCCGTGCTTGTGTGGTGTCACATAGTGATAATGAGAGACACAGTATGTGTGATAACATGAACAACTGTACAGCTTTCATTTTTAACAGGAAAAAAGAGGGGAAAAAAGGCAAAAAGGAAGTTTCAAAAATAAACAAAAGTACTGAACTGATAGTGAACTGACCCAGCACTGATTACAGCCCCTGTAATCTCATTAAATATTCACTTCAAAGTAGTATATCCTAATAATTAACACATGGTCATAAACATAATACCAAATATGGAAATGTAGATACAAAGTTATTCTGTTATTGGGTTGTACAATATGACATACAGTTCATAGAGTTGCTGAAGGTCCGGCCTTCTGACATACAAACATTTCTATACAGTAACCAAACAAACTGAGGCACAGCCTCATCGCACTTACTATTTTTATGAACTCTCAGCCCTCCTGGAACAAGAGCTCAACAGAACCTCCCAAAGTACCACATATTTACACTGATATCTTATGTTCACATTTTGGTTCATTGTGAGACAGATTAAGTCCTCTGGTAAGACACTTAAACATATTCAACAAAATGCTGGCAAGATAGAGTTGATTTCTGACTCTGCCACTGACACACTGATACTCTGTTAAGAATACAGGTAGTGGTAAATGAGACTGTGTTGAGGATGGTTTGTGTGAAAACAACATTACTCCAAAGCAGGAGCTGTGATGCCACAAGACTACATTTTACCAACTCTGAGTTTGTGTTTTTTGTCCTCCAGGGTGCAGTACTACCTCATACTTTCAGTGCCCCCACCAACCTGCAACAATCATTTGGGCTCAGCATCAAAACTACAGAAAATACTGATATGACAAATTAATCATTTAACGAGAACAAATTTGAGCTAACATTCATCCTTTCTATGTGCTTTTGAACAGAAATCCGAATCCCAACAAGCACCGACAAAGGTGTACTGTTTAATTCTGATTCAGATGTCTTGAGTCTACATGCTTATGAAGTGTGTTCATCATCAGTATGTCATCATCCTCTCCCTTTTTAATGACTTTCCAGTTGCACTTGAGCTAGGCATCAGAACCCCGACTGCCGAGAGGAGCTGCTCAGTGTCCAACAGACAGTGCTCATCCAGGGTAAACAGGTATTAAAAACAGGTCTGGTGTCAGTGTGGTCGGACTGGCGGCTCCAGCTTGTTGGACAGGGCGGTCAGCACCTGGTCAAACTTGGCATATCGCAGAACCTGGCTCTCCTCGGCTCCCCTGCTCCCCCACAGCAGCCTCATCTGGAAATCAGTCAGGAAAAGCTCCAGGACCTCCGACTGCTCTTGGAAACCTGCAATATCAACATCATGTCACCACCACCGATAGATCAACAGCAGAGTTTAGAATTTGCTTATAATAATTCAGTGTCTACTATCTTGTTTGTTGGTGTATTTGGTTAAAATAATAATAAAATGTATTTTGTGCTTAACATCTATATTAAAAGTGACAATATCAGTGTTATGTTATTGAGCTTTTGTACTTAAATGACTTAAAAGTTGCAGCACAAAGGAAGGGATAGATGTCTTGTTTCAGAACATGCTGTTTGACATCTTAGATGACTTTTTCAAAACACCAGTTAGTGTGGCTTTAATTATTCATGTTTATTTAAGTCATCTAGATGGGTTGACTAGTGCTAGTACTGGCAATGACAGTACACCAAAGATCTCAGCATTCTCTTAGTTTTTTTTAAAGTTTTAACTGGATTATGGAAACATTCTGATAACTGCAACTCACTTTACATGAACGCCTTAACCAGGTTGGGTTAGCTGAGTGATATCTTGTTGTTTTCATACAAGATGAAATGATGAGTGTAACAACTGTCACCAGAGTGATAAACTGAATCTAGGGGTTTAAGAGTGGAGGCAGACGTGTGTCTATAGGCAACATCACCATAACAACCAATAGAGAACTGTATCATCTGCATAAATATGTGCGTTATAATTAGTTATAAAGGATGTGACATTGTTAATATAAATGGTGAACGAGACAGGACCCAATATTGAACCTTGTGGAACCCTCCTTGACAGTGGTAAAAATGCAGAGTCATAATTTCCCCAAATCTCACACTGCTGTCTATGAGAAAGGTAGTCCTGGAAATATTTACAGGATTTCTAATTATCAATATCGCATAGCCTTTGTAAGAGCATAGCATTATCAACAATGTCAAAGAGGGCAACACACCAGTATTTTCTCCTCTTTCCACTCTCTTACCTTTGAGTTTGCTCTCAGCGTTGGAGCGGTAGATGCCCCCCAGCTGAGCGATGGTCCTTGCTGCCCCTAGGTGGAACATGACCACGTCTACCCCAACTTCCACTGTTTCCCACGGCTCTGTACCCTCACCCACCGCCATGCTCTTCTCCAGCAGAGACAGGAGGGGTAGGACGTGGGGGAAAGTGGTGTTGGACAGCGGACAGCTTTCTGGAGGACAGACACACAGAGTCAGTGTTTTTCTATAAAGGAAGGTGTGCTCTACAAATGGACCATAAGGAATCAGTATATAACAATGTTTTGATTGTTTTTTTAATGCTTGAAATAGTGCAGTGTAGGAGAACCTCTACCTCTCCCGTCATTCAGACTCTTCATAAACGGCCTCAGAGTTTTCTCATAGAGAATAGCGCCCTCTGTGTGTCGCTGCCGTAACGCCATCCAGGTCTGCTCCAAACGGGACACCTGAGAGACAGAAAAAACATCACCATTAAAACCCGGGCAGTAATGGTTTCCAGATCATGTGACTGTTTTACACTTGCAGTTGCACTTGGACGGAGACACAAAAATGAATGACAAATACAATTACAGACTTTATAACCTACTGTTATAAAGATAAGGCATTTATGATATCCAACTTGTCAAGTCAACTTTTACATAAAGGACACAGGACACAGATAGCCTAATCAGTAAGCAATCCTTGTTGTTTTATAACACCAAAGATAATATGGTCATGATGCAGCATTATCAATGTATGACAGTGTTAATTGTTTTTTATGTACAAAGGGTAAGGGGTTATTGCTGGCTATAGCTAATGAACAGTATCATCACCTTGATGACACACAATGTGTTAAGATGTCAACTATAGCCGAGTTTAGTCTAATGCAGGGATTTCTGTTGCATGTCATCCTCACTCTCCTCATGTTTCCTGTCTCTCCCAAAAATGATTGTAAAAGGAAATATCCAGTCTGTGTGATATATGTTTACCTGCGGCAATTCTAAGGCTCTCATGACTGCAGCGAAGCCGAACATGTTGCCCATGGTGCTCTTGAGCTCGGCAGCGATTTGGATGATTTTATGCAGCAGACCAGCCCTCTCCTCAGTCGTCCCTGTGCAGCCCAGCACATCCACAGCCAACATGGTTGCCATGGTTTGGAACCTACAGGAGGGTGGAGAGAGAAAAGGGGGATCGCTAACATTACATTTTAGCTCATATCACCATTTGTGCTCTCAACAGTGAGAAGAATGACTCATCAATCACATATTGCTTTAGAAGGTCAATTTTAATCCGTCAAAAAAAATCACAAAAGTTTATATCCACACAACTTTGCTTTTTTTACAACAAATAAGGCACAAAGGGTAAACTTTGCCCTAAGAGGGACACCAGAGGAAAGGTCTTGTTGCTAACTAAATGAAAGGGTCTATCTCCTGTACATTGATTTGTGACTCACCAAGGTCGTTGGCTCCACTTTTAACAGTTTGCGTCATCCTAAGATGTACTTTGTGAGGTTTAGGTCAACCTGCTGACATTTAACACATTTAATTTCACATTAGCCTGTAAACCTAATGAACCTGGCCTGTGTTTCACACTATAATTGGCCCTGTTTTGTCTCAACAAAGAGGAATGTCCAAAACAGGCAGCAGTTTTCTGTTTTTTTTGCCCATGATGACTATCCCTTTTGTCGGTTAAACATATCAGCTGGGGCAGATTACATCAGCTTGACATTAATTCCGTATGTCTGCAAGCCCGTTCCTTGTATCCGGCCAAAGACTGTTTATGAGAATAAAGTAACACCACTGAACGATCATGTGTGGACTGTTGGACCAAAGTGCTGGTAGTGTTCACATTTGGGGGTGGAAGTTTTAAGTATTATATCACTCAACTATGTCTCTATAAATATGTCTAATATGATTGCTAGGGTGTTTTCTTGGAGAATCATCTGTTTATGGCAGGGTTTGTTAACTCTATCTATATACCTCTGTGTCTATGTGTCTTGTATTGTCCATTATTCATCATTCATGTGTTCATGGACCTAAAAACCTTTAGTGTTTGCATAAATTTCTGCACAAGCCGTGGCTCAGAATTACTGGCTGAGTGGACTCCACGCGCGGCACACATATTTCTAAAAATATGAGCGAGTACTAGGCACGTAGAATTTATATTGTTATGTATTGGATACGTTGTATTGGGGAATAGGTATGACATTGCTGACTTGACGTTAGTACATCTTGAATAGCTGTAACAACAGATGATGGACCTGGATCACATGCTTCCGGAGAATCAGGTCGATTTGTCGTGAGGAATTTCGTTACAGAGAGATTCGCCTGCACACTGTGCAATATTTATTTATTGAAGCAAGCTTTCCATCAGAGACCTTCGTAAAGCATTATTTAAACTATGACTAAAAAACTGTAAGAGTCATAGCTGCTACTTAAACTAAAGATGCAATGTGTTTACAGAAAGGACAAAAAGTGGGAAATATGATTAAATAAGGAATAAAACAAACAAAAGAAATCACTCCAGTCTTCTTGTCGGGTTTATTTGCCTTTGCTCCATATTAACCTGCAACCGCATATCAGCCTAATCTCAGTACTACATCTTAAGTTCAAACGCAGAGTTTCCCATGTGAGACTCTCAATCAGCTTTCCGTTGTGTAACAAACCTGCTGCTGCATACCATACACACTCTGGACTTTAGTCGTGTTACTTAAGTGCCAACACGCCCAGAGCTGCTCTGACTGTCGGAGCTGGACGATAGTTAGTCAGTCAGCCGTCTGCTGTGAGGTTAGTTGGGCGCTCAAACAACAAACTCGAGTTGACATGTGAAAACTGTTCATTGGGACACGCTCGGTAAGTGTTTAGATCAAAAACCCGACCAATAAAAGAGTTTTAGAAGCAGAAATAGGCTGGTGGTATGTAAATACAATATTGTTCATGTTGGATGGGAAGAATATTACTGTATATGTGCATGAATAGACTGGTCAGCTTAACCCTGATTACTTTCTGATGGATGTTGTGGTCTTACAGTCTCACAGAGCCAGATAGAGACTTCCAGATGTTTCGTTATTGAAAAGCTCAACAACAGGACACGGCTAAATGAATGCAATGAGCATCTTTACTTGAAACTGTGCCCTTTCACAAATATGGTGCTCCTAAAGTTCGGCTTATGAACTGTGAGAAGAAAATCAACGTTTAGAGGTTTGGTTGAGTAGTTTCACGGCAACAGGAAACATGTTCTATGTAATTAAAGCAAGATCATTGAGTAATTATTTTGTAAATATCTGCTTATCAGCTCACAAAATAGCCTCATGTTTCCTGTTTTCAGAAATGTAGGAATGGCCAGGGACTTTTTCTTAAACAGAGAAAGAATACACTTATTTTATTACAGGTAGTCTTGGCTATTTAATGCACTTCTCTGAACTCTCAGGTATCCAAACAAAGTTATTTATAACTAACATAAAAAGTACTTGTAATAGTAGCAATAGTAGTATTTATATGTTAGGGAGGAATCTGAGGACAAAATTACTCTTGCTACACAAACAGTTACAATACTATTTGGAAAGGTCCTCTGACCTTTGACCGTGTAAATACAAAAGGCAGCTGCTATTAAATCCCCTTTATAGTTGGACACCTATCTTAACTGAGCAAAACATGTACATAAACACAAAGCTGTGAAACCTGAGACAGGGAACTGAATGCAAACAGCTTTTGTAAACCTCCTGGGTTTAGTAGCTGGAATTCCCACCCTGTGCAGTTGTGTAATCAGGAAACTATTACTGAGCTGTAGGAAAACTGGGAGTTATGCAAGTCTTGCAGCAGTGTACCTCAGTTTGCCAAAAGAATAAGGAAAATACTCTGCATAAAGAGTGCTATGCATCAGTTTGTCTTGGCTGCGCTTGACTGGATCTTTTAACAGTAAGTCTTGCTCTCAACTGTGATTAGGTGGTATTTTTCAGAGCCAGGAAATGTTGCTGTTGTGTAGAGTACACGACAACAACCAATATCAATAATCATGAGAACATTTGGCTTGTATTTTAATTGATTAAACTAGGAAATAATGACTTAAAAGTAATTTCAACCCTTGATACTTTCGTAGCGGCATAGCGACAGGATATTAGTGACGTAAATTTTATTATCTGCCCTTGTCCACACAGGTCCATATGGATATGCGCGTCGACGTCCGAAATGTGATCCAAAATGTAAGACCATACATGCCATATGGGCATGTGAGGACTATATATTCGAGGGTACTACATATTCGGCCCCTCTACACTTGAATAGAAACGTGCCCCTTTCATTTGAGAAGCATGATCATAGCTTTTGATTTTCAAATTTAAAAACTTGTCCTGCATCAAACCTCTTCTAAACTGTACATCAAAATGAATTAAAATGAATTTGAGTAGAACACAATTTTATCAGCACATCTCTAGTTCTAGCTTTTTAGGACTATAAGCAGTCCTCTTGAGTCTGTCATGGAAGCAGGACTACTCACAAACTCTGCTCAGTGGTTTTGATGATGACATGAATCACCATCTCTCAAAGACCTTCAACCTTATAACCAAATGCTGAGCTCCACTGATCCTCAGTGGATGTTTTTCAGACTAAACTGAGAGGAATCTACAGTTTGAGTTCTTCTTAAGGTTCCGGACCTCTGCAACAAATCACGTCATTTTATAAAACACTCTAGATGACAGGCTCATTTAATCACAGGTTGCAAGGAGCTAAGGGGTCTTGAGAACATCGATGGCAGGATACTTCTTTATCTAAACCCAGTCCAGTTTGACTTCAATCATTCATCAGTTTTTGTGTTCCAGACTAAAACCTTAGTCTTCAGTAAAATATCAGTCATATCAGCTCATAGTCGGCACACATATTTCTAAACATACGAAGTAGCTGAAAATTTTATTTTTATTTTGAGTTGTTTATTAAGTTGATGCATAATCTTGAACTTAAGATCTAACTCCTTACCTCACTTGTCAGAATTTCTTTCAGA